CCACAAGCATGAGGGGTGGTTTGGGGAGCCAACTCCCAAAAAATAAATAATAAAAAATATACATGGATGGCTGACTCCTAACAATGGCCATCCATTTGGAGGAAAAACTCCCAAGCAATTTCCCTCAACAGTATTGTTGAAAATCCTTGGGAGTAGTTTTTATAAGCCCCTTGAGTTATTATTTTGTATCAAACTCTCAAGCTAACCAACCCTCTTACCTACAAGAATTTTGAGGTACTAGATAAGTGGCAAGTGGGCTTATTTATGAATTATCAAAATGATAAAAAATTAACTCAACCTTATTAGTAGAGCCTTGGTATTCAATACTGGAATAAGGTCACATGACTTATCTGGGTATATCCTTTGTTCTTGCATTCTTGCTCATACACAATCCTACTTGTTCTTTTTTTGAAGTTTTTATGGGGTTTTGAAAGAGGAGAGTAAGGTATTGTTTTAAATTATAATAGGAGCAATGTGTAAGATTTTAAACAACTAAGAGTATTTATTTTGATTAGAAAAATGAACTAACTGGTCTATAGCTATGCACAAGAAATCTTATTCATGAAATGAATTGAAAGCAAAAGAAAGGAAAGGAGAATTTACCTAAGAGCAGAACCAATTTTTTGTGCTTCTTGTCTATAGAGGCTTTCTGTTTGGATGATCCAAAACAAATATGATGGAATGTAATGAGAAAGATTTGAGGTGGAAAGAATAGAACTGAGGAGAGAGAGTGTGTAATTTGGTCTGTATTTGTGTGTCTGATCAGTATCAAAATGTCTGCTCAGCAATGTGAAATAGTGCAGTTGTATCTACTCAATCTAAGGCTATGGGGTAGCTGTACGTGTCCCTACTAGATATGTTTGCGGATAATCTGTTGCGGATATCTGTTATCCGCTGGCGGATACCCGCCAGTGCCAACGGATACCTGCCAGCGGGTGCGGATTCGGGTGCGGATGCCCCCTTCCCCCTGAAATCCTGGTGGATATCTGGGTATCCCAAGGGATATCCGCCCATACAGGAGGTCTTGAAAGGGCTACAGGCTGTGAGAAACAAAAGAAAAAATGGAAAAAAGGAAAAATAAGAGAAAAAAAATGGGGCCTTAACAAAAAAACACAGCCTATCTTTTAGCCCAGACACATCTGTTAAAATCTTCTTGTGTAATCAACAATTGTCTCAAGAAAATAACTGAAGGCTGTCAACAGAGGACCACAATCTCCAGGCCAACAAGACACGTGTACCTTGTTGATTGGAATTTGGAAGGTTTTCCTTCTGGCCAACAAGGTACAAGAGGCACATGTACCTTGTTGACTGGAAGGAAACTCTTCCAGTCAATTTTTGGCCACCCCCTCCAACCACCCTTGGTTTAAGGGGTGGGTATCCAAAAATACCGGCTCAGATACCCGCTAAGGCGGAGGTATACCCGCCAGTGGAGCGGATGCAGACAAGCCGGACGGCTGTTTCCCTAGAAAAGAAGCCAGATATACAGATGCCTAATTGTATTTAAATACATGTATTTCTGATGTACAGTGGGTGGACCGTTATTTTTGGCTGCTTGTTTTGGGTTCTACAGCTTCAAAGCACAAACTCCAAGTCACAAGACTTGTTGAATTGGTGCAGAATAGGTCCCAAAGAATGAATATGAAAAATAAAAACAAAAAATAAAGTTTCAAAATTTGTGAAAAATAAAAAATAAAAATGTTTTTTTCCAAAAGCTTTGTTATTGATTTTGGGGGAGTGGGAGTGCTGAGAGAAAGAAAGAGTGGAACATGGGAAGAATGATTATAAATGAAAAAAATTGGAACCAAAAAGAGTTTGGCCAGGTTGGTTGTCCAGATTGGAGCCAAAACAGTAAATTCTAGTGCTTGACTGCAATGTGGGCTGGTGAATGCCCCACTCAACAGCTGTTTGAAGCCATCTGGAAACCAATTTTTGCAAAATTTTCATTTATAATCATTTTTCTAACATCCCAATCTTCCTTTCTCTCAGCACTCTCAATCCCCCAAAATGAATTTCAAAGCTTTTGAGAAAAATAAATTTTATTTTTTATTTTTCACAAATTTTGAAACTTTGTTTTTTGTTTTTATTTTTTCATATTCATTCTTTGGGACCTATTCTGCACCACTTCACCAATTCTTGTGACTTCAAGTTTGTGCTTCAAAGCTCTGGAATCCAAAACAAGCAGCCAAAAAGAACGGTCCACCCACTGTACAGTATCTGAAATCGGCAATGTTACAATCATCATTATTAATCAAGGAGATGTGTTTACCCTTAGCAAAGTTAGTACACCACAGGTTGAGTTTTGGAAATGGCACTCCGTCGGCTTGACCCTGCGGTCAAGCACTGGCACTACAAAAAATATTGATTCTTGAATCACATTCTGCAAATCTGCGGTAACATTGCATGCCACATGCAATGTCACCTTGCATTTGAAAAATGTGATTGAATATTTTGGCACTACAAATTCAATCACATTTTGCAAATGCAAGGTGACATCGCATGTGACATGCAATGTTACCGCGCATCAGCGGATGTGATTCAACTCTTTTTGTAGTGTGGTTGGGCTTAACCCCTTTTACGCAATCCCACCGGATTGGTCTGGCAAACGTCAATTTTGGGTAGGAAAGCTGTAATTCCAACGTTGGCTTGACCTTAGGGTCAAAGAGTCCCACCGTCGGCTTGACCCCATGTCTGAAAATAAAGAATTTTTTTTGACATTTTTCTACACCCTTTCCATGCCCAAAAAGTTGTGGCCATCTAAAGAAAAAAAAACTTTAAGACAAAAAAATCCTATATGCAATGGGCATTAATAAACGTACCCAGGTTTTCCGCGTGAACACCCGGTTTTGGGGGTGGGTGGCATACCCGGTTTTCCGCGAGGAAACCCGGGTTTATTTTGTATTTTTGGGATTTTTTCTTGCATACTCAAGGACTGGCCACAAAGCCGGTCCCCCGTTCCACGATGGGAGTAGACTCTCCCATCATTGGCCGGTCAATATTGGCCGTCGATGGACACCGGGGGAATATTGGGGCACTGGTTGCCCAGTGACTTCAAGTCACCATAAAATCAGATTAGTTTATCAAAAATTCACTCTGGTAAAGAATCTGAAATTCAAAGATGTTTCACAATGTTGGAAACTGATTCTTCCTCAGAATTCACTCAACATTCAAATGAAATTCACAATAAAATAATATATAAGTCACCAGAGCTTCCTCAAGTAATGATTCATTTAATTCACTTCTAATTCATAGAAATGGTAAAAATGATCAGCCCACAATTTTTTTCTGCAGCCCCTTCAGAACTAGATTATAATACTCCCAGATGATGATTGTAATTTGTCATTCTAGGCTTATATACTCTCAGATCAGTTAATTTCTTATTGAAATTATTCTTTGCAGCTCTAAATCTGCAGCTTCAAGTAATAGATATTTACCCAGCTCATTGGGTGGATTCAAACCCAGCTTGTTGGAATTTTCTTCCAACAAGCTGGGTTGCAAACCAGTTTGTCTGGAGGTTGAAGCTTAGTCTCATGTTGGATTATGTGTAATCCAACATGAGACTGTGCTGCGTTGGGAGGGACTCCTTCATACAAGCTGGGTTTAAATCCAGCTGGCCAGGAGGTCCTCCCAACAAGCTGGGGTAACCCCAGCTAGCCAGGAGCTCCTTCTGAAAAGCGGGATTTATCCTCAGCTAGCCAGGAGCTCCTCTTGAAAATCTGGGTGTAACCCCAGCTAGCCAGGAGCTCCTCCTGGGGAGATGGGATTAAAATCAGCTGGCCAGGAGCCCCTCCTGACAGACCATCTTGGTTTAAACCCAGCTTGTTGGAAAGAGCTCCTGGCGAGCTGGGACCCCACCTCAATGAATGGAGCTCCTGTCAAGCTGGGTTTAAACCCAGATTGTTGGAAGAAGCTCCTGGACAGGTGGGTTTGAACCCATCTCATTGGAATCTGGTGGAGAGCTGGTTTTAAACCCAGCTCATCGGAAGCTCATGGCGAGTTGGTTTACTCCCAGATTGTCGGAAGGAGCTCATGGCGAGCTGGGTTTACTCCCAGCTTGTCGGAAGAAGCTCTTGTCGAGCTGGGTTTACTCCCAGCTCGTCGGGAGGAGCTCCTGGCGAGCTAGGATTAAACCCAGCTGGTCGGAAGAAGCTCCTGGCGAGCTGGGATAAAACCCAGCTCAGCTGGGTTTACTCCCAGCTTCTTTGGAGGGTGTGGTGTAGTCTCATGTCGGATTACGCGTAATCCGACATGAGACTGTGCCGCATTGGGAGGGGCTCCCTCCGACGCGCTGGGTTTAAACCCAGCGGTCAAGGAGTTTCACCTGACGAGATGGGTTTAAACCCATCTGGCCAGGAGTTAAAACCAGCTGGCCAGGAGTTCCTCCTGACAAGCTGGGGTTAAACCCAGCTCATTGGGAGAAGATCCTGGCCAGATGGATTTAAACCCATCTGGACAGGAGTTCCTCCTGAAAAGCTAGCGTTAAATCCAGCTCATTGGCAGGAGCTCCTGGCCAGATGGGTTTAACCCCAGCTGGACAGTATTTACTCCCAATGGGTCGGGTTTAAACCCATATGGCCAGGCACTCCTCCCAATGATCTGGGTTTAACCCCAAATGACCAGGAACTCTTCCTGAAAAGTTAAGTTTAAACCCAGCTGGCCAGGAGGTCCTCCTGAACCTGAGACTGCACCAAATTGGGAGAGACTCCTCCCAAAAATCTGGCGTTAAACCCAGCTTATCAGGGGCTCCTCCTGACAATCTGTGTTCAATCCCAGCTTTTACAGAGCCCCTCCTAACAAGCTGGGTTTTATCCCAGCTTGTCTGACTCCCTCCTGACAATCTGGGTGCAAGACCAGCTTGTCTGGGGCCCTGCCTGACAGCCTTAATTTAATCCCAGCAATATTCTGGAGCTGGTAGCAAAGCCAGCTTTCCAGGCCCTACTTCCAACAAGTTGGGTTTAATCCCAACTTTCCCAGAGCTCCTCCCAAATAGCAGCGGTGGGCCGCTACGCTTTTGGCCCAAAGAGCGTAGCGTAGCGGCGCTTTTTTCATCAAAAAAGGGTAGTGTTAGCGTTTTTTTAGTGTTTTTTTGCTAAGCTACGCTGCGCTACAGCGCTTTTGGCGGAAAAAGCGGCCAAAAACCGCTAAAAACCGCTGTAGCGCAGCGTAGTGGGCCCTTTTTTGCGGCCCACACACGTACCGTTAGTGGTTTTGTGGCGGAATTCCGCTACGCTACGCTTAGCGCTAACAGTGATTCCGCTGCGTTAAGCTACACTAACCGCTATGGTTAGTGTAGCGGCCCACTGTTGCAAATAGCTAGCCAGGAGCTCCTCCCAGAAAGCTGGTATCAAATCCAGCTTACCTGGAGGAGTCTCTCACAAAAGTTTGTCGAATTAACCAACTTTTGGGGAGGGAGTATTGCAACACAAGCAGCATTTAAAGCCAACCTGTTTAATGGGCCCATCCTGGTGGACTGGCACATAATCCAGATTTTTGGCAGAAGCCCCTTCCAGCAAAATACATCTAATACCAGCTTTTTGGAAGGAACTGCTCCCAGCCAGCTGGTATTAAAATCAGCTTGTTGAGAGGAAACCCTTTCAATGTAGCATCAGCTCATGCGGGATGTTGTGCAATCTAATAGGACTGACATCAGACTTGGTGTCCTCCTCTGACATACAGCCTGTGGGGCCTTCTGAAAATCGGGGATTAAGATTTGATTTGATTTCAAATCCAGAATATTTATTCTAAAATAAGTGCTGACATCCAGTAAATCATAACAAATTCTGGTGTTCCTTATGTCTTAATCAGTAAAGAATGGGGAACAACCTTTTTTTAACATCAGGTGAATTTGGAGGAAGTTAAGAATCTTTTCCAGGGAAATTGAGAATAATTTCAGAGGAACACCTAGTGACTTTCTTGTGAAACTCTTTTTTCATGTATGATTCTTCTAGTGATTTTTATAATCTTTTTTGAATGTTTCAAGGTGAATTAGTTGAGACTTTCAGTCACTGGCCACCAGTGCCCTGGAATTTCCCCTGGTGGGAAGTTGTGTACTCCCATTGACAACCAGAAACACTCCCATCAAGGACCGGTTTTGACCGGTCCTTGATGGGAGTGAACACCGTTGTCCATCACTGGAAGTAACTCCCCTCGATGGGGAATGTTCACTGCCCGATGAAGGGAGAGTCTCTGGCACCGTGGACCAGCTTTGTGGCCTGTCCTTGAAAAAATAAATAAATAAATAAACCAGGGTTTCCTCGCGGAAAACCGCGTATGCCACCCACCCCGAAACCCGGTGTACACGTGGAAAACCTGGTACAGTGTGTTGACACCAAGCAAGTCTTGGTAGTGCAAATAATTATTTACAGAGCTTTCATGGTATACACCAGATATGCATATGGCTACATAACCCCTTTATCTAGTATCCGGGTCAGAAAGGGTACAACAAAAGTATGTTTTCCACATAGGCTGGTTTACTTAAAAATATAGTACTACCAAAGCTACAACATACCTACATATCAACACATCTCAAGATACAAATAAGACTCCCCTTCACACCGTTCTTTCGATAAAATAACTCTTTCCCTAAAAGTGTATTTTATTTA